CACAGCAATCTATAGAAATTCAACCAATATTATTTTTAACACGTCTTGTTTATTTTTCCGTACCACCACCACCAAAGAACTTCCAGGTGAACCCATACCTATGTAATGACATCTGATAAATAAAGTGTAAATGAAATCATAGAAGTCAATAGAATAGAATCAATAGAAGTCACATTTTTGCTTCTGAAAGATACTTCTTACCTTTTAATTCCCCTTTGATGCTGCTTGATTGTTGTTTCTGCTTATCTAAATCATTTCTAATGTTAACAGGATTCAGACAGGGAAGTATGGAAACGAAAAGCAAAACAACCAGAAAAATAAACAATGTAGTAGAACATATAATCAAAAGCTTTAAGAAAATCTAGCACCTCCCATGGTCTAAAATTGCTTTGGCCTAATTACAACTCTGTTAGCAAAGTTTAAACAGTCAGAGGTCTGAGCTGCATCCATAAAATATGTTTTGTTTACCTGCTTGAGGAATTCAGCTGACCTCCAACTCCAGATATACTAAATCATAGGGATGTAAGAAAATATCGATATGGCAATATATCGTGGTTTTCCCTGTAATTATTACATTGATATTCAAAAGTCGTGTATCGGAAATATCGATATGGCAATATATCGTGATTTTTCCCTGTAATTATTACATTGATATTCAAAAGCCGTGTATCTAATTCTTGAAAGAATTTACATGCAAACATTTGTGTATTTTCTTTTCGTTTTGTGCAATTCAATCGCCACCCGCTAGTTGGCAGCAGTGTGCAACGAGTTTTGTTTCCACCATTGAAATGTAAATCCCTCCATCATGGTTCAGATACCTCATGTTAAACATGTTACGTATCAGTTTGGACTGTTAACTGAACATTCTTACAATAAATTCAGTAAAATAAATTGTTTGTAACGTCTGACTGAATGTATCGCAATATATCGTGATTTATCGTATCGTCTCCCCTGTATCGTGATGTGTATCGTATCGCCAGAATTTCAAAAATACACATCCCTGCTAAATTACCAATGAGTACCGGGTAAATCACGAAATTATACCAGTGCGTGTCATTTATTTGCTTAAGAGCACTTGTTTAGCATTAGCAAAGACATCGCAAACTAAGGAATACTTTAAAGTTGAGCTGATTTGCAATGCCTGTCCTCCCTCTTGGATCCAAACAAGCATCATATCCTATTTGAGTCTCAAATCCATGCAAATAATCTCCAACAAGCCTAAAATTATTCCAGAATTTGAAGTCAGTGGGGGTCTTTGCATTCATAAAAGACCTTAAATTCTTGGTTCACTGGCCTAAACCTCCAGAGAATTAAACTTCACAAACAATGCACGGTAAACATTCAACTTCATTGACATCCCAATTTAATAGACTTGGGATAATGGGCTTCATATGCATGAAAAGTTCTTCAAATGCGGTGCCAAATCCTGCGCATCTAGTTCACTTTAACTCGACAGTGTTTTCTTTCCACATGCGTTCCCATTCTTTAATTCCTCTCTGAGAAGAGTCGCCGTTCTGGCAAAGCATTTCTGATTTCCATCCAGAGTTGTGCTCTTGGCATTGCTCTTCCAAATGCAGGAAAAATAACTTCCCCTCACAGCATGCGGGCATTAATATTAATAAGCTACGGAGGTACACACTGCGTCCCTAACTCGTCATCATTTAAAATGTGAACCCATGAGATAGTGCTCTAAATATATCTGCTGACAGATCCAGAACAGTAATGAGCTTGAATCAAACGTCTGTCACAGCGTGCCGTCATTACTCCTCTGCGACACCACAAGGCTCTTGAAGGTGATGGATAGGTCAGAGGTGACTAATTTTAGCAATTGTTGCTGTAGGTCAGATTTTCATCATTTTTCAAAGGCACAATCTGGAAGAAAAATCCTAGTCTAATTTGACCTTGAGTAATGGGCTATGTCGGACTGGGCGCAGTGGGTGCTGAGGCGCTGAGGTTCAGCGACTGAGACGGATCCCTCAGTGGACTTGCGTCATTATTTCTGCATTCATGAGAAGTCTATAAAGCAGACTAGTGGAAATGTAAAGGAATATTTGAATCAAATTAAGATGGAGCTCAGAGCTGAAGGAATTTTCAAAGTGTTAAAAAGGAAGGAAAAAGTCAGGAAGAAAAACTACCTCCTCATTAGGAAATTAAAGTGAATGAAAAACGGGAATCCGACACCTCTTAAGCAGTCGATTAACACCCCACTCTCCACGGCCTGCCAGAGCATGGTCCCATTCGGGTCAATTTGGGAAACCTTCAGAGTGAACACGGTCATTGTCCAGTTAGACATTCTCCTACACCAGTGGTTCCCAACCTTTTTCCCAAGGGACCCCGTTTTTTAACAGTAAAATTTTTGACGACCCCCTCCCATTCTCTCTTCCAGTACAAACATTATTAAGAAATGATAAAATTGTTCAAGCACATTCTAATATGCTTTGATTCAATAGATAACAGTAATAGTAGGCTCCAGTACAGAACAAAGTCATTAACAAAACCAAACTTGACGGTTTGTATTACTTTCCTGAACACATTGTTTCTTGTAAACACTGATAAACCAATCATTCCTTTTAATAAATGTTTGACACATAAAAAATACACTGAGCAAAATGTACTTAAATGTGTATATTACTGTTTATACTAGATTATTTACTGTAAAGGCTGTGATTAATCAACCAGTCCTATCTTTAATTAACTTTTGACACGAAAATAAAACGGTGAGCTGAGCAAAATGTTCTTAAGTGTGTTACTTTTTCTGTACTAATTATTTCCTGTCTTAATATCAGTAAACTTTTTACTCATGAAAAAAAATGTGAGCAAAATGTAGGCTATAAACAAGTAATAAATGAAGTTTTAACCCCTTAAAGTGGACAGGTCCTGGCGACCCACTGAGAGGCTTTGGCGCCCCCTTGTGGGGGTCGAGACCCCCAGGTTAGGAACCAGTGTCCTACACTATTGTCATGCTTTAAAACACCAGAAAGACATTTCTCTGACGATGTTGTCAGATACGTTCATAATGGACCCAAGCTCAGGCCGTACCGGGACGCTAATACGATCTAGGTGGGCATGTCTGACTGAATGTCCAAAGCAATCGTTCCAGCCGCATGCCTCGTGAGTATGATGGCTTTTATTAAAGACCAAGTTCACTGAGAAACAGTTCTTACTTGTCACTTTTGAAATTTGATTGTTCACTCTGAGTTTACACTGCAGGATGAATGTAATAATGGTCTTTTACTCCTCGTAGCCTCTGATAGAAATTACAAGGGAACTCTAGGACCGGGGTCTTCAATTCTGGGCCTGGAGGGCCGGTATCCAGCATGTTTTAGTGGTTTCTCTGCTCCAACACACCAAATTCAGTGGTTAAATCACCCACCCACCCATCAGCGAAGCCCGCTGTTGGTTTAACATCCAGGAAACGGCACAGCACGTCTCGGAGAGTAGAAGCTAACCATTAGCATTAGCAACTCCACAACACAGCAGAACTCCTTTAGGATTGTGTTGTTTCTGATGATAAATCATCAGCATTGCTAAGCAAACACAGTCAGTGGTAGAGTCACGCTGCTGTTGGCCAACCAGAGACGAGATGTTTGAGTATCAAGAAATAAAAATGAATAAGACTCAAAATCCATTTAGCTTCTGCTCCATCTAACTTTGACTTCCTGAAACAGAAATGCAAGAGCTTTTATCCCACGTTGATTTTCTCATGAGACATTCATTTATACTTAAGACCCCTGCAAGTGTTTTGAGAAGAGAAAAAAAAGCAAACTTGGTTTTTAAACCAAAGAAGGCATGGATAGTGGCATTTATGGTGGACTTCATCACTGAAACAGTGGATCAGTGTTGATATTGCAGTTTGTCATTACTGAGTTAAGCTAATCAGAAATGATTGGTATATATAACTTTATTGAGTGGCTGGTCACACAGACTGTTCATTATTGATGTACCATACCCTATAGAGCAAGGGTATTCAGTACCGGTCCTCGAGGTTTGGTATCCAGCAGGTTTTAACACACTTGATTCACCTGTGTGGCAGCTCATCAGGCTCTGCTGAAGCCTGTTAATCACCTGCTAATTGAAATCAGGTGTGTTGAAATGGAGTTAAAACTTAAACGTGCTGGATACCGGACCTTCAGGCCCGGAGTTGAATCCCCCTGCTAAAGAGCATCCCTTCATGCTGCATTGGATCTATTTTGAAATAACACTTGGATCTGAGGTCTGATCTAAAGTGTTTTGTGAAAGAAACTTTAGAAAGTCATTTGCAGGACTTGGTGGTTGAGTACTGTACTTTCTGCAGACTTTCAAGGGCTTTTCTAGTTATAGAAAATTATTTTCTTATGACAACTCAGATTTAAAGTCATGAAGGCATGTTAGGGAGTTTCTGGCTCAGAGTTAGGGATTGATAAAAGACGTCTGAAGAGGCTTTTATTAGATACAAAAGGATACGAGATGTGTTGTGTGACTCAAAAGAGAAACTGGAATCTAGGACAAGGTTGAACATCTTGAAGGATGGGCAGAAGGAGTTCTCCAACCCCCTGGAGTAATGCCTTTAAGGCCACATCCAACAGTTTTGTTTTACTAATTTTAAGTAGATTTATTGGCTTCCAGGAATTAATTTCATGCATGCAGTGGACCAGAAAGTTTCATGAATAGTTTAGGGCTAATATAGATTTGTTAATAATCAGCATATGAATAGAATTCAAGACTATGTTTGCAGATTATGACCCAGGAAAAGCACCAGATTCAAAAAAAGCTAACCACTCTGAGCACTCCTGATGCAACCCTGACAGCATGATGGGGTAATAGCGTAAAAGTCAGTGGGCCAGTACTACTCTTGAAATCCAACCTATGCTGCGGTGTATGCCATTGAACTCCCACGCCCTCCAGGCTTTGTGCGTTCTCAAAACCGATGTTTTCCATGATAACCTAATGCAATGAAATCTAATTGTCCAACAGTTTTTTTTTCTAAGTTCATGTAACAACCAAACCTCTCTAATTTTCAGCTGCACACAAACGTGGACAAAGGTGACGGTACTGTGAAGTACGTCCTCACCGGAGAGGGGGCAGGCACTCTGTTTCTCATCGATGAGAAGTCTGGAGACATTCACGCCACCAAGAGGCTGGACAGAGAAGAGAAAGCCATGTACACGCTACACGCTAAGGTCTTGAACAAAAACACCAACGAAGAACTGGAGCCTGACACTGAATTCAACATAAAAATTCACGACATCAATGACAACGCACCAAAGTTTGCAAGGGAAATCTACTTCGCCAGCGTCCCTGAAATGTCTGAAGTTGGTAAGTTGTGACTGTCATTCTTTTGTGTTTGTCTTTTTTGTTTGAGTAGCTGACATTACTTTGAACACTTTCTCATTCCCATCTGTACCGGGTCGGCCCGGGTCGGGTAGCCCCAGTCGGCCCCAACCTGGCCCGGTTGATTCCACACATCCTTGTCTTAAGCCCATGTGGGCTGATTCTACCCACCAATCAGAGGCTTGCTCTAATGGAAGGTGTGAATTTGCTGTCAGCAGTGGGTGTGTTGGCCCTGGTCGGCCTGAAGCAGACCCCCTCGAGAAGAGGGCTGAGAATGAGCCTTGGTTGGCCCGGAAAAATACCAGGCCACCCAGATATGTAAACAACCTACGCTACCCGGCCCGGGCCGACCCGGTACAGATGGGAAGGGCCCAAAACAGTCTTGGCTTATTCAAGTGACCAATAGCATCATACTCATGGCCTCCAAACAAGTAGCAAAACAAAGACAAAAGGCTGCTCAGCCAGCCTCCACACTATGCAAGTACAATCTAATGCAATGCAAAGTGTCAATGCAAATCATGTTAAGTCCCTTGAGAACCCACCTTACAATCCTTCAATCCCCAAGGAGCTATTGCTAACATTATGCTAAACTAGATTTTCCTCACCTGTTTGGAGCATCTCAGAGTTGCTCCACTTTTCTGAAACAGCCATAAAAAAAGGAGAATGCAACATTTCCTACAAAAAGGCCCAGAAAAAGTTCAGTGTCTTTGCAGGTTAGTGGCCATAGTGATACGGCAAAAGCTGGATAAACGTTTGCATGTAGGCGTAGGAAACCAACCCACTGCTGTCTAAACTGTGCAGCTGTTGTGCTTGCGTTCACTGCTTTAAAACGGTCGTCTTGTGGTGCTCTTTTATGACTGGTTTTTGTTTCATCAGGCTCATTGAGCATTCATAATAAGTAATGCCGTTTGCCATTTTTAATAAGATGCAGAAATATTGAAAGTTTAGATTTTAACAGTATTTCCAATTAAGTATTTGCTTCGTTGCACTCAATTCCATTCCAGTAATATAAATAAATCGGCTGGCATGAATATAAACAAAGCCTATGAAAATATTGCATGCAATTTGAAATCAATCCTCAATTATGAAGCTGCAAATTAATACACAGGAGCAATCAAGGGTAAATCGAAACCCAATTGCCTATATAACAAATAACAATACTTAATTTGGAATTCATAAATGGGTGTCTTTAGATTTCCCAGCTGTGTGGCTTCTGGATAAAGGTGTGTCAGGGTCACAGCTACTCATCTGTGGACTAATAAACTGCCTCACACCGCTTTATCAAGGCAGCCAGGCATGAAGAATCAGCAGCCCCCCCCTCCGTGCTATCGGTGCTGGGACTAAGTGAGACAGATGTTCAAGGGGTCATTAGTATGCACCGAGACAGGCAGACCCAAACAGGACACGCCAGAGGTCTCCTGAATGCCAAGGACAGTATTTGCAATCTAGGTTATCGAAACACTTGAGTGGATAAAACAGAACGTAGTATGAAAGCGATTTTAATGATGACACGTCTGAGAGGAGGTACGTGCTCTCTAAGCCTGACTCTTATTACTTCTCTTTTTATACATATCTTGTGCAGGAATGAAGCATTTCAGAGTCACTTGAAAGCATCTCTGTTTACTAGAGAGTCGTCAGTGAAAGGTGATGCTGTTTTATGCAGGCATCAAACGTTTTCCAAAAAAAGGAGGCAGGTTTTTTAATAAGAAATAATTCATCTATGTCAGATGATACAAGGATTCGGCATCTGAAATAGCTGACACTGCCGAGAGTCTAAAAATTAATAAAACTTCCATTTCAGACCTAGTCCTTGGTGAATACAAGGGTTCTGAGACACTGACAGGTGTTGAAAACATACAATGCACCAATGGCACGATAAAGGAAACAAGCTGATTGGTCAAGGCAGTTTGAGTTTATGCAAGTCCACTCGTTCTACCACAGCAAGAACCTCATTATTTTGCATACAGGGCATCTGCAGGTTTAAGTGAGCCAAATTTAAGACTGTTTAAAACCTTTTTTTAAGGCCACTTTGACCAAATTTAAGCTTTTTGTTAGATATAATTTAAGCTATAATTTCCAGCTATTGCCTGGAACCGGTGCTAACCACACCGTGAATGTGGGATTAGCCATCCAGTTACCATTAATGTTGCACTTCCCCATGGCGCAAACTCCCACTAGCGTGCTCATCTAAAAATAGCCCCCTTTCACAACCAACCGAATGTGTACAGTTCCGCTTACGGCAGTATCACACACAAAAAATGCCAAACTAACTAGAAATTCACGAAAATTTTATAGAAATAAAAGAATCTTGTTTATTGGGTCTTTGGTAATTTAAGACCTTTGGAAACTATTTAAGGATTATTTGTCATTTTTAAGGATTTTTAAGGCCTTAAATTAGGAAAAGCTAATTTAAGACTTTTTAAGACTTTTTAAGGACCTGCAGATACCCTGTGCATAGAGCTGTTAGTATATAGTACTAATGCGTATAGCAGCCACCAGATTAGCCCCCTGTCTCGTGAATGAAGCATTATACTACCGTAGTTTACACTTGCAGCAGAAAAAGCTGCAGTAATTATTTTTCATAAGCAGAAATGCTAGCAAAAACCGATTTGGATGTAACTCTTTCAATTAGAAGAAATCTGTTTGTTTTATTATTTACATGCATCTGTCTCAGTCGAAGAGCTTCAGCTGGATTTATTTAGAATTAGTAAATAATAATAAATAAATGAATCCTGCAGCAGTCTGCTAGTGCTAACAATGAGCTAACACTAACATGAGTTAGCTAATGCTAAAATAAACCACAAAGTAATAATAGCCACACTGTAGGACAGAAATATTTTTGCTTACAAGTTCAGTAGCAACAAAGCCAGGCCATCATCAGTCAATGATTTTGTAGCCTGCTTTAGCTCCCTCAAACTAGCATTGGTCGCACCGATGTTCACTCGGGTTTTAGCTTCACCTCTCTCTCACTCTCTTACTTTTACTTCCAGGCTCCGTCGTGATGCCAACAGATAAAAAAACCTGTTTTCTTCCTGCTGTGCTTTTTTTTTTTTGATGATCAGCAAACTAAAAAAGCTAACTGCTAGCATAACAGCTAACCACCATAAAGGAGGCAAAGAGCTCCCCTTAAAGATTATCAACCCGCTCCACAAAACGATCAAGTGCTGTTTTTGGTCAGCAGAGGGCTGCAGAGTGCAGACTGTTAAATATGAAACGGGTCACGTTTCTAATGCAACAATCAATGTTAAAGCTCTAGCTTAAAGTAAAAAAAATATACATTTAGTGCTATTTTAACTACATTTAGGGCTAATCTATCTTCAACTGAAGCTATGAGAAAACGTTTAGTCAAATGTTATCAGAATTCATACATTTGGCTAAATATCAGTTAAAGTTTACCTTAGCCAAAGTTATAATGCAAAGCACACCTTTCCACGTAAGTCTCCATAAACACTTCAAAATAAACTAAAGCAAAATGGTTGGATTTAGAAAAGGTGCGTAAAACCCTGTTTGTGACATCACAAATGAGGAAATTAGAATTTAACCACCTTTCATCTGGAGGAGCAGCAGCTGACGTCAGAGCATCTCAGCTTACAGCAGCCAGAGTGGGGGGTGGGTGGGCGTGGCCATCCCCAGCTCATTTCTTAAACTGATAAAGCCCTGAAACAGCTAATTCTGTGGAGAATGAAATGGCTGAAACTATGAAGCAGTGAAGGGAGTTTTTGCAAAGAACGTCAAACATGTTTTGTACAGGCCATAGAATTACTGTAATTTAAGAAAATCCTAAAATGTATCTCAGTGTAAGTTTGGCTAAATGCTCTGAACAAAAAGAATATCCCAAATCAACACATCTTTACTCATAACTAAATAAACCACTCACTCCACCTTAAAGATGTCAGTGCAATTAGAGGCTACAGAGATTTTTAAACAAAATGCATTAATCTGTTTATTTTCTGTTAATCTGTATATGTTATTAAGCATGCTATAAACTTGGAGTTTTATCTTCTTTAAGATTATTTTTGCAACAAACTGTGGTTTTCAAACTCACCAGTTTTACCCAGTTTATTATGCTGGGTATTTACAAAACAGCATGTGGCTTTTAGTTTTGGTTAAAATGCATTTAATACAAATGTGGATGTGCTCTATATATAGAGCACTATAAACTATAGTTTTAGCCATCAGATGCATGAATTCATAGGAAAGGCACCTTTATCTGGAAGAGAATGCTCTGTTTTTCCTGAGATTAAAAACGTTTGATCACTGCGATCTGATGTGTGGAGATGTAGCATCACGGGACTGAGTAGAGACAGAGAATGAATGATGATTTGTCCTTCAGATACAGACATTTTATTGCAGCTGTTCTTGTTGCGGATGAATCTGCATGATGAAGCAAAGCAAAGCCTTTCAAATGTCTCAGGGATCATTGTTGGCCATTTTTCACACGCTGCAGTGTAGATGATGAATGTTCCTAAAATCAACCCATTCATCTCCGATGTTTGCAAATCATCCAAGAGCAAAACCAGAATGCTTTTCTTGAGAGTCGCTTTGAAGCAAAAGACAAAAGAGGTGCCAAACAGCATAAAATCTGTAGCCTTTACAGAATCACCAGCAGAAACGAAGGCAGTCATTTGGTTTATATAATTGTGCCATTCGTGTGTTAGCCCCTTGCAGCACCAGCATATACCTAGCCATCACGATGCCATTTGCATCAGCAGCCTTTGGTGTGACACGAATGTTCGCGATGACACATGGCTAACATCAGGGCATGGTTGGCATTAAAAGCTGTCAGTTTGAGGAATTGCATGGCTAAAAACTGCTCTCAGGCCTGCAGCCAACCCATGCAAACGGAGAGTAAACAAAAATATGTTGACTCAGTTTCTTGATCCTGGCTTGGCTGCTGTAGCACAGTCAATTAAATTTCACTTTGCATGATTTTGCTTTTCCGCAGGAACGTCTGTTGCCACTGTAACTGCTACTGATGCCGATGATCAGACATATGGGAACAGTGCCAAGCTGGTGTACAGCATTCTACAGGGACAGCCCTACTTCTCTGTGGACTCTGAAAACGGTGAGACGAACTCTGGGATAGCTGAATATTATCATACATTACCGTTTTTTTCACTGCAACAGAAAATAATTTAATCAGATTTTCAAGGTAAGATCTTATAAGAAACATTTGATGGACCAGCTGCAACTTTTGGAAACCAGTTAGAAATACACACACACATACTTTTAATCTAAATTACATTAAATTGGTATTTTTGGGCCTAATTGTATTAATTACAAAAAAAATCAATAGTTAGAACACTTGAGACTAATTGACTCTTGCAGTTGGTTTGCATTAATGTTATAGGCATCCAAGACCCATCCAGATGCATTTAAATCTAATAGATTGTGACACTATGATACAGTTTTTCCTCAATTGCTTTGGTGCATTTCTCACAACAGAATTGATCTCTGCACTACTATTAAGGCTTTTCTCAAAACAATTAGTGCAAACTGCAAAACATGGAGGATAACTTGCAAAAGTGAGTCACTTCATCAAAAAGAAAAGTCGGTTGTTCAAAATAAGTAGTCAATGCTTCAAAAGCAAGTCTCTTAATCAAAACAGATAATATATTCATCAAAAGCAAGTACTTATATCAATCAAAGTGTCAGGGCTGTCACAATTATAAGTCATTACACCAGCACCTTTGGTCACAAAATCAAATGGTTTAAACTAGTGTTGTCAAAAAAATCGATACCTAGATATAAATAGATACTAAAAGTGGTATCTAAATTAGATATTCCATCCCTGTGGTATCGATATTATGGACTATTAGTTGTTCAAAAGTACAGAACAAAACATATGGCATAACAGCCTATGACAAAAATGCACCTTAAACAGAGTTTAAGCAGCAAAACATCACTCTGCAAATAGTGTATATATAGTGAGACAATTCATGATTTAAAGTGTTAACTTTCACCAATTTTTGTATGCACGTTTTAAAAAATGCTGATACTTGAAAGGTTTAAGCACTTAATACACTCAATTCTTAACATTTAATTTTTGCAATATAAATTGAGGAATGTTATTTTTTGAATAAACTTGTTCAATAAATTGGTGTTTTTAAATAGTATCGAAATCGAATATCAAGTTTTTTTTCAAGTATCGAATCGAGTTTGAAATTTTAGTATCGTGACAACCCTAGTTTGAAGATGTTCTCGTTGTGACGGATTTCTTTGTAGGTGCTTCCCAATGACATGTCAAGTCTGGACAGCATGCATGGCATGTTGAAAACCATAAATTGGAAAGGAAAATCAAGACACTTCACATGCACTCTTGATAATATTTAACTGAAACTGTTCACAGCATTGTGCAACTGGGGAAATACAGTAAAACAAACAGTTTACAGCAAACATAAACTCACTTAGACAGTAAACCTTACTGCAGTAGTTATGAAACAAAAAAAACCTGAACAGACACTGCTGCATATCAATCACTGATATCTAGACGCTCCCGTCTGTCTGCCCACGTTTTCATCAACATCACAGGGAATGTCAGCTCTATCGATGCATCGGGGAAAGTATCTCCTGGAGTGTCGAATCCACCCTCTGCAGGACTCTGCTTGGATGTCACCACAAGCTGCATCCATAGCTGCTAGCTGGGCCATTTGGGTATGTGGATGCCTGTCAGATACCTTCCACCTCCAGGAAGAGAAAAACGCCTCAATTGGATTTAGAATGGAGTGTAAGGAGGAAGAAACTCCATAAGCATCCTGTCGTGTGCTGCAAACCACTGCCTGACTACAGCAGAGTGATGGAAGCTAACATTGTCCCAAACCACTACATACATTGTCCGATTGTCACCAGGTCACACACCAATATTCATTAGTGTGAGATAAGGTTCACCTGAGAAAAGTCATTTATGGAGATCTCCATGGAAACTCCTTAAAAATAGGGTTTTCAAAATGGGTGTACAACGTTTGACAAGATGTTCAACAGATTTGAGTGCAATGACACGAGCAATGACATGAAGACTATTAGTTGTAAGGACAATGACTATTCAGCCGGTACAAGTATAAATAATTGTGACATTCATGATAAAAGCAAGGAGATAGTGATGCACAGCAAGTCAAAAGTGACCATTCTTTAGACATTTGTACTCAACTGCTTCATGCCCAAAGGCATTTGCCTTTGGATGAAATGAACAT